GAGGCTTATGCTTCCTTAAATAGGGTGCAAAACCCCGGGATTTAGGGTTTCATCTGTCAGCTCCTACTCGTCGAGTCCCTTCATGAACTCGGTGAGTAGGTCACTAAACACGCGTACCAAGCCCGTTGCTACTCGACGAGTAAGGCAACCAACTCGTCGAGTAGGCCTTGAAACCAATTAAATTCTTATTTAAACAATACCTGAGAATCAGGGCGTTACAAAACACTTGATTCCTATCTGATTCGGTCTACCTTTAATTGGTTTGGCTATTCATTCTTATGTTCACAATGAAGCTGATTGACTTGAATTTCTTGCATGCTTGGTTGGTAAATTTAGCATTTCTTTCAATAGAGAAACATCGATCTTCATCAAAGGCGGTCAACTGTTTCTCTTGTTTTGACTTATAAAAATTAGTCTTTTCCTTCAGTTTTATTGTTGTTTCGGTATTATGGTAATTGGATCATTGCAAGCCTAAGAAGTCTACTGCATGTTGGAGATTTGGTGGTGGTTTAGCTTTGGTTTGGTGGTTGTGATGGTTGTGGCTCTGAAAGATGATTTTACTCAAGCTATAGCTAGCAATATACTCTCCATTTGTTTGTATATTATAGAACTCTATTTCACCTTTTTACATGTTATAGCCTCATGTTTAACTTTTTTCTTATGAAGGTATTGTATAATAAACAATCCACTCAATTACAACATTGCATAATATTTTTTATTTCCGATTAAAGCTAATCAATCAAATATCAAATGTAATCGATAATACCAGTGATAGAACAATCCTGGGCCGTGATTAGCACGGCCTTTAGATGTACCTAGTGTGTGTGTATATATATATATTATATATATATATATATATATATATATATATATATATATATATATATATATATATATATAGAAACTAGTAGCTAGTAATTTATAATGATATCCAAATGTGAAGGACTCATGTCTTGCTATATAGAAACACATTGAACTGAGATTATAAGGATTGACCTACAATTCTAAGAACACCAATAACTACATTTCAAAAACCATGCATCCTAAAAAAATATGTTCTCCAAACCTTTAAATGGATCAAAACAGAGACCATAGTTGGCGCGTTAGCGAGTAGAAATTATAATACATGTTATAAAATTATAATAAATACCAAAATAACTTCTTTTTATTTGATAGTGTCGGGATATATCAAGATTAATTTTGCATGCACGTAAATTATTGTCAATGTGAATCATTAAAATAACTTCTTTTTATTTGATAGGGTCGTAACTACTTTATCATTATTAGGTATTGCCTTAGAATATTTCAAGTATACAATAAATTACAAATATAATAAATTTAAATATCATATATTATAAAAGATATACAAATAACATTATAGGAGATCCAAAAGTAGTTGCACCATCAAGAAAACTCCAACGGAAAAAAAAATGCAATTGGACTAAAGATAAATACATTTAGTAACTATAACATTAAAATAGCATTGTTTTAAGAACATCATTTGTGAAAAAAAAAAATATCAAATTCGTGTTGAAATAAATATATGATTTATTATTAATTAAAATATTAAAGGCACAAAAAAATAAAAAAAATAAATAAATAAATAAATAAAAATACCAACTTTATATATATGATTAGTTTATATAAGTTTGAATTTTGATAAGTCAAGCATTAGACAAATGTATTCGTAGGACTTGCACTTGTATAGACAACCAATCCACTACATAAAAGCTGGCCTTAGAATATTCGCGGCAAATGAGATAAGGTTTTTGGTATTTCTGTTCTATTAATTTGTTGAATTTAAATGGGAAAAAAATCATGATTGAATAAATTATAAATTTGTTTTCACTTACCTTAGTAACATTCATATTTGGTAAACTATATGTATTAAATTTGTTAATTTGTGTTTCTTGATTGAGTGCCATGGCTATATAATATACATAAATGATAAAATTTTCAACAATGGTGTGGTGGTTTAGGTATAAAGCAACAATAATCTTTAGCTTGCTTTTAAGGATCAATCAAATGATTTGAACCCAAAAATGAAACACTTGAATGTGAACACTAGTTTCCATTTCAAGCAAAAATAATATTCTTGCATGGTGTAGCCACGTAGGTAGGAACTACATTAGAAAACAAAACTATAGGGAATTTTTGAATATATTTATATTTTTTAGGGTTATTCATCAAAGTAGCATATTTTCTTGAAAAATATTAAGAAATATCTAGGTTTTAACGATCGAAACAAAAGAACGATAACATGATTTTAAGGGCTATGTGCAAAAAATAAAAATGGTCCCCTAATTTTTTTTCTATATATAAGCAAAATTTGTTCATACTATGATAACTCGATAAATCTTATAAAAACAATCGAAACAAAAGAACGATAACATGATCTATAATCTTACATAGTTACATTAATCGCGAGGTTCTCATGCCATTATTGGAAGCAAAATTGGTCCCCGACTCTTCATAATCAATATTCTTCAATGTGTCATTCTCAATAGCTATCATTGTGACATTGTCAATCCATTAAATATTTTTTTTTGTGACTTTATGGACTGTAAGTAAGACTTTAACAACTTCATTTTGATTTCTATCAACACGTGCATTATCAGCATTAATATCACAATTGTTTTGATTCTAAAAAAACTTGAGTTTTTTTTTGGATAAACATATCAAGAGCCCCACTTTGAGACTTTATATCTTCATCTCTTTTTTTTATTACATTTTTCACTACCTAATAGATGCTTAGGAGACACAATTTTTGAAAATTATATATGATATAACATTAACACCAATATAAAAGTCATAATTACAGAAACTAAGGGGAACAATTAATAGAGAAATTGCTCAAAATACATCTCCTCATAATGCACTAATGTGAAGTTAGAAATTCAGTCATTCATAATACGTGTGTTAATGTGTTACATTCGTTAATCTATGACAACAATCATAATATAAAAACGAGAGACCATCAAATTTAGAAATTAGGAATAGTGAAATACTTTGTTTAATTTCAGTTGACAATAAAAAATCAAAGCGGGAGTGCAACAAAAAACGAGAGGTGGAATCTAGTGGAATAAAAAAAATTAAGAAACAAGAAACGTCATTTGAGCTTTGTAGTTGCCGCAAATTTGGAAGTTTGAAATTGGAACAAAGCGTAAGCTCTTGTTTCCGTAAATCTATATTAGTCCATTATTAGCCCAAATGCAATTTTCAATTTCTAGCCCAATTTTTCAAAATGTGAGTTGTTGCAATTTTTAATTATAGTGTGAGCTATTGGAATTGGAACAAAAGATGGGTTTTTGTCGTTTTGATTACTAGACAGTAAATTGAATCATATGTAAAATTGAGCCCCTCCACAACATGGACTTTGTGCGTTTGCCCACATCGCACATTCTCAAAGACACTCATGCTTTTAACAAGTAACACACATCACCATCAAATTTAAAATTTTGCCTTTTTTAATTAGGTATGAATTTTCAAACTCATTTTTTCTAATTAAACTAAAGACACGTTCAAAAATGTATTTTTCTGCAAAGAATAGTTCAAAATCCTGAAATATATATGGATTTGCAACCTAAATTTCTATACAAAAAATATTTCAAAATTTTACTTTTTTCAGGAAAAAACAGTTTTTGAACTTATTTATTCTTTTGAGAAAAAAATGAGTTAAAAGCTATATCTAGTTCAAAACTTACAAAATTTCGAACTTAATGATATTTGTGTTACTTATTAAAAAAATAGTCATTTCCTAATATCTCTTAAGAAAAGATATATAGATATTTAATACGCTAACAAAATCTCCTCTATCAGTTGACCACGTGACTTTCCAGTTGACCTCTTGGGTTAATTCAAATGAAATATTATACGAACTGTTTGACATGATTTGGGTAGTTACAGCACGTCACAGGAAGTTTTCAATGAATTTAAAATGAAATCATGACAGCATGTCTACGAAGCTTCCCTTGAATCATATATATGTCAATGACTTTTTTTAAGATCTACGGATCTTGGGTTTCTGTTTCATTCTTGTTAATTAAGATAAGATAAAGTTTTATATCAAATAATGTTTCATTCTTGTTGATTAAGATAAGTAAATTTTTTATATCAAATAATGCTTACTGGGTCTTCTTGCTAGAATAAAAAAAAAAAAAAAAAAAAAAAAACAAAAACCCGAGAATAAAGATGTTGACCAAGAGGAATAGAAACTATGGCAACCCTTCTAGATAGGTCACAGCAATTAACTGACATGTCGATAAGAAAGGGTATTATTTTTATTTTTTTGAATTTTTGAGCCCACTTGGTTGATAATTGCTCTGTTGTTGGAAAACAAACAAGAATAAAATAGGAGCGGATGCATGCACTGAAAGCAAGCAGGCAAAGAATAAGAACCAGGTCTACAATGACTATTTCAAATAATCGTTGACTTAATATGTAAGACCAGGAAAAAGTCAAATACCCCTACCCCAATGCAGAAACAAATATTTAAAATAGTATAGCTTATAACTTATACCTACATTAATTACATAACCAAATTATTTGGCTTTGGACCATATCCAAAGTCACTATCATTGTTACAAATCTAGACTGACGTTTGTTACACAAGCCATATTAGTTGATTACATAAAACTAGACTAAATTAGACCGAACTAAAGACTAGCGAGTAATCGACTTACCTAAATTGTAAAAGCAATTATTTTAGGAAAATTCAATATATGACCAATATCTATAGGACAAGGTATGAGATTTTTTTTCTAAAATATACACATTTTCAACAACAGATACAAATGAATATTGTACACATTTTTGTTAAAAATTAATATATAATATTGCAAAAATAAATAATATTTTGTGAAATTATTACCAAAAGTTTATGTTAAAAGTATACATAAAAAAGATTTTAGTCTTCAACTTACTGTTCTAGCATAGGCTTCACAATGCTTTTATCTAAGAATAAACCTTAAAGGGCATGGACATTTTTTTACCATTATACTAGCAAAAGAAAGAACTAAAGTTGTTAAACCGGATGATATGGTAGGGGATATATTTGTCCTTTGACAATTGACACATGAAATGAATTGCTTCAAAATTCAGAAGAAGAAAAAAGAAAGTACTAACAACATCATGTAAATCGGCAAGATTATTTGCAACAAAAGTATCTTTGTACTTCTTGTTGAGGAAGCTTCACAGATTTTGTGAAGTTTAAGAAGACAAAACAGCACGCCTCCTGTTGCCAACAAATGCTTGACGAAGCTCTTTGTATCCAGACATGTAATGTTCCAATGAGAACGACAGCTGTCTTATCACTTCCCTTTTCTCTTCAGCTCTATCCGACATCACTTCCCTCTGCCTTTCCACCTCTCTTTCCAACTCCACCATTTTCAGTTCTACTTCCTTTGTAAACTTCTGTGCAGTATCAAATGACAAAACTACCCTCGCATGCTCGCCTTGTAGCCAACTCAAACGGGTCTCCAGTTCTTGGACTAAATTGTCCCGAGAACACATTTCAGCTTGAAGATTATCAAGCTGAGCTTTCACTTCATCTCTCTCTGACATTACAGCATCATGCTTGTGATTCAAATCATCAATCAACTCACCTTTTTCCATTACTTCTGTTTTTGATCTTTTGAGATCGGTTTTCCAGTTCTCTTCTTTGGCAGAATGACAACTTTTCAGTAGTGAAATTTCGGATATTGACTGATTGATTTTGGTGTTTAGTTCTGTGATTTGATCATCTCGTACTGATATATCAGCTACACATAAGTTTATTTCTTCATTCAGTTCAACAATTTTGGTTTTCTGCAAGTTAATCTGGATCTGTAACAAAGCCATTTCTTCCTGAGTTGTTCCAAGTTCAATAATTTTGGTAGACAGCTCACCTTTCACCTCTGTAATTTCATCATTTGCTGCCTCTAACTCTTCTCCCAAAGTTTCAATCTTGAGACTGGACTCAAAAATCATGAGTTTGAGGTCAGACACTTGCTCCTGTAGCTCAACCACCTTAGCTTTCTCAGCTTCAAGATGGGCATTTTGGGAATCTATATCTGATTCTTTCTCATGGATATCATGCTTCAACTTTGTGTTTTCGTCTTCTAAAGTTTGAAGCTTCGTGTTCAAATTTAATAGCTCTTCTTCCAAAACTGAAATCTTTTTAAGTAACACATCAGGGTCTTGGGTTTTTGTTTCTTTTACCTTGGATGCATCATCATTGGCTGGTGAAATTAGAAGCTTGTTGATAGACATGGAAGATTCTGATTCGGAATCTGATGATAAGGAGAAGGAAGACTCTGATGCTTCTCTTCTAGTATTATAAGAACCACAGCCACCGGAGCTCAGAAGTACATCAAAACCGATTGGTGTCATAAACTTATGTGCACTCTTTTGATCAGGGGTAAACATCTGAGTAACTTGAGGAGAGCTTGAATCGGATGAATCAACAGACTGGTTTTTGAAAAGTGATGAAAGGTTCTTGTTGACTTCTCCAATGAAATGAACATGTTGATCAGCCAACACCCCATGCATGCGTGATAACTCGGTTACCATTGTTGTCAATTTGGACTTCTTGCAATCAAAGGTTTCGTCTGTGGTTTCAGAGAAACTTTCATCTTGTTCTATTAGGTTCAGGATTTCTTTGACGCACTGATTGAACCCTAGTTTTTCCAGAAATTTGAAGCTCGGTTAGTGTATGCAACATTCTGAAAAGATTCATTATGCAACAAGTTCATGAAAAGATGGTTAAGCCTCTTTCTTGAGGATCTTACCTTCTATATTTTCTGTAACGCGTATAGAATTTTCTGGCATAATCTGACTATCCTGCCATTGTGACTGTGATTTTGATTCGACACCCTCCATACCAAGAGACATAGTGCCCTGCAATACTAGAATAGTAAAGCATAAGATTAAGTCTAGCTTCCAACACTAATAAAGCAACTTGAGTTATATGTGTCCAAACTCCAAAGAAAGATAAATAGCCAACAAGGCAACAACCCATCAATATGATGATATAATTAAGGGTTTGTAAATATCAGGTTCAATTAGCCAAAACATTTTAAAAAATGGCTTGTTTACTTATACATGGTCAATCTGAACTTAAAGTTGCAGTGTGTGTGCAGATCAGCAAAAAAGCTGTGATTGTTTCTCATCTAAATGCAACAATCACCGGAAATAAAGAAAAAAACAGTCTTGTTTATTTATACATCGTCAATCTGTACTTAAATTAACAGTCTCTGCAGATTAGCATAAAAAAACTATGATCGTTTGTCATCTAGATGCAACAATTCACCGGAAATGAGAAAGGAAAAAAAATCGAAAGTGGATGTGTTCAACTTGGGACAAGTATCCCCAAGTCTTACGCCCGCAAAGAGAGCAATTTGTATATTTAACATGCATTGATCTGTAAGTTTTGCAGTGTATTCGATTTGTAATCCCAGCAGTTTATTATCACTAAATTCACGCGACTTTCTTTCCATGACACAACTCAAAGGCAGTCATCGAAAGCACTACAATCCAGTAAATACATCGGTATAAATCTCAGATCTCAAACAACTCTCCACATAAGAGCACGCCAATGAAGCAAAACACATGGATTAGCTTCAATTCAATCATATGTAACACAGTCACACAGATTGTGCAAAACATAATCATAAATGAAAACGAAAATAACAACAATTAACTGGACCACCTGAGATCAGTATTAATCACAATCAACATCCAATCCTTTACAACAAATCGAAGAAACATGGATGAACCAAAATTAATAAGGAAAGTAGCTTACGGATTTGACTAACCTTTCACAGAAGCTGAAATTGATTCGAGACTCGAGAGAATTGGTTTACAACTGCAATGATCACTGATTGAGAAAATCAAAGGTCGTTATGTCTGTCTCTCACAGAGAGAGAGAAGGTATGTAGAGTGTAGACAAGTAGAAACGGGTCAAAAGGCGCTCCGAACACGAAGAAAAATCCGGATTTTAGGGACCGGATGTTACCCGCCCTTTCCCGTTTAAATATGTAGTGACAAAAATAGCCTTTGGTTTTTCAAAAGTTAAGGTGATTGGGGAAGAGCCTTGAAGGGTGTTTCAGGTATTTTCACTCAATAAGGTTTTGAATTATTGGAGACAGCTAAGTGACAGCAATAATTGTTAGGCCCACATGTGATTCGGGGCGCTCAATGCTGTGTATTTCAAAATTTTGGAGATTGTAAAGCGGGAATAATTTTGTAAATATTATAATTGATTATTTTTCCTATTTTGTTAATGTTATAACCATTTAACCATGAGCCATATATACAAAATACTTTCTATATAAATAAATTAATAAATCATTATCAATGTGATTACAAGCATTAAAATGATTACTATAACAAAAAAGTTTAAAATTAAAGTTTAATATAAGAATTTATATATAATTACTAGGTTAAAACTCATGGAAACTACGAGTTAAAAAATAAAAACACTATTGATAAATAAAAATGGTAATGAAGAATCAAAGATTTTTAAAATTTTATTAATTCAGATCGATATAAGTTTTGCCAACAAATTTATAATGATTTGTTAAAATTAATATATACATTATTTTGAATATCCGCAAACCCGAACTGAAAACCGAACCCATATGGGTTTTGCAACAAAAAAAAAAAAAAAACATATGCAGTTTTTGTTTGGTTTTAGCCAAAAAAAATTGACCCAAGTCGAGCCATATGCATCCCTATTTATATCATTCAAGACAATTGAGATTTATTTAGTCAAATGTTCTCATCAAATTAATATGTACGTCTACTAATTAAAGTAAAAGAAGGGAAAATAATATTTTTGATAAATTAACATAATATATTTGATTGATAAATCATTATCACTAAATACTAAATTAAGCGTATTCACAATCATATAATATAAGCATATAATTGATAAATCAATAATTTGATAAAAATAGGTGGGCATAATCTAATTCGTATTTAGCGGTTAGCATGTAACTATAGTTTATTATTAAAACTTAAAAATAAACCAAAATTTCTTTGAATATACTATGCATTTGTAAACTTTTTTATAAAGCGATCATATTATAATATAAATTTTAAAGTAAATAATAGTTTATTTTGTAAATTTAGGAAAACATTAATTGTAAGAGAAAAAAGCAACTCACGCAACCACTTGTTTATCATCCTCACTTGTGATGGAAGAGTTCAAATCATTGTGTAAAATATCAACAATCTAATCAATCTTAACATTATTATTATTATTATTATTATTCAGTAATGATCGGCTTATACACATAGATAAAGAAATAATCATATATTTAACAATATAGCAATGTACTTATGGCAACCAACATAAATAACATATCACACTTGTTGTAAACATTCCAACCCAAAAACATTGAACTTTCCATGTGAAGACAATATAGTTTGAGAAATCAACCAAAATAAGTATATTCTTCAAAGTACAATGTTGTAATTGGAAGAAATAAATATATGATGTGATAAATAAATAATTTTCTTTCAAATTACAAAAAATGTTACAAATTGAAAAAAATTATTATATCAATGAAAAAAAATGTTAGAATATAAAATTTTAAAATATCGTAGATTGGATTAACCATCTACGAACTAAAAATGTTACAAACTGAATGAAACGTATAGTGACGAAGAATTCTAATTATTATACTATAGATTCCCATTTAATAAATGATAACAAATGTTTTTCTCTGTGAGCTTATCAGCATTCAAATCCTTACCAGTGACATCTCCCACCTGATAACCAAAACCAAAAACTGGTGAAAAATGTTCAAGAACATAGATTAACAATAGATTTTTACTACCATTCAAACATGCTAAAAAGACAAGACTCAAGAATAGATAATAAACCTTAAGGTGGTTGGTCTTTCTCATATGACTCATTTTCAAAGCAAAATGAGTTCTCAGTTGCAATCCTCTGCTACTTTATACAATGTGGAGCTACAACATTTAAGCAAGTAGACCTTGTTCCAAACATTTTGTTTTCTTGATATAGATAAAAACTAGATTATGATCCGCGTTAAACGCGGAGAAATATAAATTAAATACATATCACATTAATAGGCGGCTTTGTCTTAGGTTCATTTTAATAAAAAAATGTTAGTTAGATTCATTTTTAGAGTTTTTGAACAAAACTTATTAGATAAAAATATTTAATATTTATATTAGAGCAATTTGGTTTTTTAATACAATAATTTTTAACATAAATGATCTATGTGATCTTTGTTTTATCACAACATAATACGAATTTTTGATTAAAACATGTTGTGTAGTAACTTTATGAATTGACTTTGTTCCGTGTACCAACCCACATGGAGGCTCATATGACCCTTTTTATATTGGCCCTCTAAAACCAAAAGCAACAATAAATTGTTACATGTACCAACAACATTAAATTCTGTAAAGAAATTCGATAAACATTACAAATAAAGTGAATTGTCATAACCATAATGTCACAACTAGGAATTTTGATGCTTTGTAACAACAACAATGATAACATTTGTGAACCAAAAATGTGAAAGCATGTATGATGCTTATTCAATAACAACAAACTTTCATCAAACACTTTATACAAGCACTGCAAATAGTCAACAAAGAATTGGAAACCCTAGAAACCCCGGTTTAAGTCCATTTTGGATTAGGATTTTCTTATTTGGGCCTAATGGACCAATAAGCTTCCAATTTGACTATTTTGGGCTTAGAACTCCTATATGGACTCTAATTGGACCCACTTTCATTTATTTTAACATTTTGGGCCATAATGGGCCCAGAATGAAATAAAATACCCTAAGGGGGCCATAACAAATCTAATTAACTTAAAAAGGCCATAAGACTCATACTTTGATGTAAATTGGGCCCATATCTTGGACTTAAGCACAAAAAGCCCAATTTCTTTTCTTCCTTCCCCTTCTCTCGGCCTAACTACACAAATGGGGGGAAGAGTTGACTTTTTACTTGCCACCTCACAATTGTACATGGGGTATCCATGCACCCTTCCCATATTTCCAAGCATCCATCACTTCACACTCTCTTCTCCTCTCTCTTTTCTTCTTCGGCCGAGAACCACAAAGGGAAAGACACACACATACAATTCACTCAAACACTCTCAAAGAACACTCTTCCTTCTTCTTCATCAAAAATTTCGAGATCTAGGAGCTTTCAAGTAGGATTCTCCCTAAGAATCATCATCTAAGGTAAGTTGATGCTTAAATTCGTGATCTAGCTACTTCATTTCATCAAAAATCTCTTCTAAATCTATTCAAACTCGTGATCTTGCATCTTAGAACACATCTAAGCCAAAGATCCACCAAGAAGCTTGCTAGGCTGAGATTTGCATCAAACTTCTTCCATTTTTCTTCTAAACCGAATCCACAAACTCAAGGTGAGTTCATACCCCTCTCTTTTCGGTTTTCATAAGTTTTATGGGGGAGAATACAAGTAAAATGTGTAGATCTATGTGTATGTGTATGCTATGTATGATTCTATGCATGTATGTGTGATTTTATGTGCTTATGTGTTGAATATGTAAACAAAAAGGGAAGAAAACTCGAGATATATGGCATGAGTAAGAAAACAAACAAGAACTAAGGTATATTACACTAAACAAGTCAAGAAAATTACCCTCCAAGATTATGATAAACATATTGTAACATAAAACTAATTTTTGGGCTTAAATTGTCAAATAAACAAAAGTTGAGTTAAAAATTGCCATTCACGGTTTTCTTAAGGGTCAAAAGAGTCAAATCAGTTAAAACAAATGTTTTTATGAATATTATGCTCTTCAAAGGACTTGAAATGTAAATATTAGCTTAATGGGCTAATTTTTGGGCTTTTCGGCCCATTAAGCCCAAAGTTGCCAAAATCATGACTTTCAAAGGGCTGAAATGGTAAATTCTTCAAAACAGGGGATAAAAAGTTAAACAAAACTATTTTAAGGGTTAAAATGCTTTTTTTTTCAAAAAGGATAAAAAATGTAAAGTTTTTGGATTTTGGGCCAAAGTTGTAAAAATTGCTAAAAGTTTGGACTTTAACCGAAAAACACTTTGTTGGAAGGTCTGAAACTGCCAAAGAATAAGTTTTGAGCTAAAAATATCATTTGAACAAGTCTATGATTCAAAAGTGTCAAGAAAATGGTCTAAGGGTTTAAAATGTCTTTTCTTTTGTATAAAGGACTAAAATTGTTATTTTTATTAAAGAAGGGCTGAAAAGGTCAAACCAATATTTTGAACCAATTATTTTATTTTAAGATATTTGAGTCAAAAGAATACAAATTTACAACTTACGAAAACAGAATGAAGAATATGCCTATATTTTTAAAAACATCATTATAAACAACCGAACGGTCTCGTGCCGAACCAAAAATAACAATCGTTCAATCAAACCTTCCAACAATTATGCAATACCTAAAACAAGTAAACATTCAAACTTTGGGCTTGAAAGTTCCAATCATGCTAGTTGGACCTTTGTGATCCATTAACATGACCGTTGGGCCCAAGGGATAATGGTAACCAATGTTATTGGGCCTTCTATGACCCGATTCCATATTAAAGGGACCTTCAATGGCTTTTAAGTGCCATTGGGCCTTAGTGGCCCATTAGCATTGCTAGTAAGGTCCAAGTAATCAAATGTGAAATGGGCCATCGTGTCATTCGTATACCCAACAGCCTAAAATAACTCACGGAAGTAGCAGGATTTTGTATTCCTCTTCTCCTCGTTTGCTAGGCTTATGTGTAATCAAAGTAAACAAATTCAGGTCGTTAATCAATAGTAATCAATGTGGTTTGGATTAAGTGAGTAATAACGGACGACACCTCTATGGGTCGTTCGTAGTTGGTAGTTATAACCAGTCATTACCATGCATGGTTACAACGACTCACAAAAATTTGATAATATCCGACACCACCCGAGTAATCAAGGAAGAGTAATCAAAAATCATTTGTTGTGGCGGTATAGCAATTCGTAAACAAGTATATTTCGCGTTATCAGAAAACATCGGGTTTTTCGAGGAAATCAACACCACTCGCTTGTAATTTCTATAACTATAATACAAAACTCCCTTTTATATACACGTTTTGAAATCATTCATGCATCAACTTATGGATCTTCACACTTTGATAAACTATTACCTTTCAGAAAATATCGGATTTTCTGGGTTTTACAAACTACACAAATCATTTTTATCACAACCTTGCTTATGAACTCACCAACATTTCATATGTTGACGTTTTTCAAAATAACTTGTATTCTCAGGTAACAGGCAAGCTGAAGGGTAATATCAAGTATGTTAGGATATTATGTTTTGAAAACTCTCAAACAATTTAGGGTTGTGGACGTGTAATATTTAAAACAATGTACTGGATGTGAACAATATCAGTTGTAATGTATTGATGCATGGTGATGTTTATGTTATGATTCATGTATATTCATTGTGATGATATTCAATTTAAGTCACGCGAGCCCTCGGACATTTCCGCCGTCTGGTTTTGGGGGTGTGACAGGTTGGTATCAGAGCTCTGTTTATAGTGAACTGGCATATCTAACCACACATTGATATGCAACTATAAACCAAAGAGGGACTAAAACAACTCTGAACAAAACAAAATAAAACACAACGATAAAACATCTTTACTTGTGCGATATAGGAAAAAGAACATAATACCAAATCAAATAAAATAATGCTGACATCTTGGTTAAGTCGGGATTGTTCTTAGTTGTAGTAAGGGGTGGATGTAGCCTGATCAACTACATTTTCTCCGAAGTACAACTATTACATACCTCGGTGAAAACCTAGATGGTCGGTAGACCTAAAAACATACCCCTTTGTTACCAAGAAAAGAACATCAACTCAAATTACATAATAATTAAAACATCTTAGGAATAATGTTAGTACGTTTATATACTCTCGCAGACAGTATGGCCGACTTCCATCACCCCGGAGATCCGGATTTCCCTAATCAGGGAAATAACGGATGGCTGGAGGAGGAACCTGAAGAAGACCCTGAGGAAGGGTCTGAAGAGGAACCTGAGGCGGAAGTCGAGGGCGGACCTGCCGAGCCAGTGGAGGTCCTGGAAGAAGAAGAAGCCGAAGAGGACTTCGAGGAGGAACCTAGCGATGATGATGATTCGGACACAGAGTCTGAAGTCATCAACCCCCCTTACCCGACTAGGGTGCTCGCTCACCGGATGGGCCCGACTGGCCCTACACCCCCCTGGGGTATCGACCTTTGGAGGTGGAGCAGACACCAGGGACAGCGACCTCCATTTGGCATGTCACGCGAGTTCTATGACTTGAGGGAGGGAGGACCAGCTGATCGCGTGCTTTCGGTCATGGTGAGACGATTGCGGAACACTGGCTACCTAGCTCAGAGCACCGTCGATCAGATGCACCAGATGCGGGCTAGAGTTGAGCGTGCAGAACAGGAGACGCGAGAGGTTATCCGAGAGTTCCACATGAGACAGGTGAGATGGGAGACTCGCCTCTGAGATGCGGAACAACAGGTGGCTCGCCTTCAGGGAGCGTCCACTTCTTCAGCACCACCCCCTGACGCATCCCACCACGACTAGGACTAGTCATATCTATCCATAGTATTATGCTTATGTGACCTATGATATGTACCATCGACTCTATGTTTAAGTGATTACACTACTCATAGAGTCGTTACCCTGCCGAACTTGCACCACTAATGTGTGCTCCTTCGAGCAAATTTTCATGTAACAAAAATGCGGATAATATTAATGGAAAATTTTTATGTGTTCTATTGTGATGTTGTTATCTGTTATGATTGTATGTTAACATGTGGAACCACTTAAGTATACACAATACACCCAGTTTTTAGGACCACAATCTCACAAAAATCATAGGCGCTCAACATCTTTCCGTTCCA